CAGATCTCTGTGAGTTCAAGGCCAGCCTGGTCTACATAGTGAGTTCCAGGACAGCTGGGGCTACAGGGAGACCATGCTTCAAAAAGACCAAAAAAAAAATAAAATAAAAAATAAAAAATAAAAATATTTAAAAAAAAAAAAGGGCTGGGCATGAACCCTAGAGCCTTACACTAGCTAGCCAAAGCCTTTGGGACTAAGCCATGCCCCCAGTTCACAGTGGTATGTTAATAAGATCGTGTTTGGCAACTGTGATTGGTGGAAGGTGATCCCCCTGCTCTATGCTGGGCCAGTAACTGGACCCCGGAGCTTTGCCTTGGGCTGTGGGCCCCAGATATCTTGGGTGTGGACTTAGGCATCTCCTTTCTCTTTCCTTCCTAACTCACATAAAGGTGCCAAGGACTTACTTGGCTCTACAAATTTTGAAAGGGTTTTGTTGTTGTCTTTATTTTTCAATCACTCTTTTGACTCTGATTACAGATGAGTGGAAGTTTCCCTGACCCAGTTTGGGAATCCATACCTAATGAGCTCACCTCAAAAAGCACTGAAATTGGAAGTGAAAGATGTCTCAATTTAACCCTTAATGAGGCCAGGATAATGTAACTTTTTTTTTTTTTTTTGCCTTTTTAATTTTTTTCTTTTTTCCTCATTAAACATTTTTCTTATATTTTACAACAAATATGTTATTCTCTAGATCACCAACCTTTTTGTTAGCAAGTGAGATGCATTGAGATTGTAGAGAGTGAATCAGAAGTGTTGACAAAAAGTGGGATGTGGGACAGCAAGATGGCCCAGCAGGTAAAGGCGCTTGCTGCCAAGCCTGACGACTCTCATTCAATCCCCTAGATCCACAGGGTGGAATGAATGAACCGACTCCCCAAAGCTGTCTTCTGTCCTCCACACGCATGCACCCCCATAAGTAAATAAACAATACAATAAAATTTTTTTTTACAAAGCTGGGCCTGGTGAGGCACATCTGTCACCCTCAGTCAGGACATGAAGGCAGGAGGATTTGAAGTTCAAGGCCAGGTGCTTTGTAATGCATAATGCCAGGATGGCTCAGCACTTAAGATCATTGAATGCTCTTGCAGAGGGCCCAGGTTTGGTTCCCAGCACCCACAAGGCAACTAACAACTGTCTATAATGCCAGTTCCAGGGAATCTGAGGCCCTCTTCTGGCCTCCTCTAGCATTGCACAGCACAGGTGCACTTACATATGTGTAGGCAAAAACACTCATAAACATAATTTTTTTGTTGCTTTTTTTTTTGAGACAGGGTTTCCCTATAGCCCCAGCTGGCCTGGAACTTGCTATGTAGACCAGGCAGGCCCTGGACTCACAGAGGTCATTCTGCCTCTGCTGGGATTAAAGGTGTGCACCACCATGCCTGGCTATAAACACAAAATTTTTTTAAAAATTTAAAAGTTTTAAAAAGAAAACTTCAAGGTCATCCTTGACAATAAAATTAGTTCCAGGATGGTATGGTATACATGAGACCCTGTCTCAAAAAAGTAAACAAATAATGTAATAACAAATAAATATTGGGTATTGCCTGAGAATCTTCTGTCTATTCTAAGAAGCAGGACAGTAATCACTCCTGTTGAATTGATGGGGAAACTGAGGCACAGACTATGATCAAGATCCCAGAGGGAGAATATTGGAGCCCCTGGTTGAACTCAGGCATGTTAACACCATAATTGACCCCAATAAGGGGCACACAACACCAAGCACTGCCCCAGATACACTGCCCTCTGCTGAGTCCCTGCACACACCTGCTAAGTACACAGAGACCCCACAGCAGAACAGGCCAAGAGCAGCATGCCTAAGGAGATGGCAGTCGTGGAAAAACCAGTCAGACCTGGGGGAGGGGACCAGGAGAGGAGGATGTCAGTGGAAGGGGCCACCTAAGGGAGGCCAGGGTGGAGGTAAAGCACAGTGACCTGGTGACAACCAGGGCAGAGGAGGGAGTCATCCCTCCACCTACCCACCCATCCATCCACCTATCCACCCATCCACCCATCCACTATCCATCCACCTACCATCCATCCACCCACCCACCCTTCCACCCACACATACATCTGTCCATCCTCCCATCCATCCTCCCATCCATCCTCCCATCCATCCATCCATCGATCCTCCCATCCATCCATCGATCCTCCCATCCATCCATCCTCTCATCCATCCATCGATCCTCCCATCCATCCATCCTCTCATCCATCCTCCCATCCATCCATCCATCCTCCCATCCATCCTCCCATCCATCCATCCATCCATCCATCCATCCATCCATCCATCCATCCATCCGTCCTCCCTCCCTCCCATTCATCCATCCAGCCTCCATCTGCTTGAATCCACCCAGTCTTGGATCGAATCAGGATTCAGTCTACAGCATCCTGGAGAGAGAGTCAAGGCAGGACAAGTGGTGTCCTTGGCAGCATCCGGGCTCCTCACTGACACCAGTTGCTCCAGGTGGAGTTGTCATGTAATGGCTCCCCGCGAGCTCAAGTCCTTAACTACCTGGTCCCAGGGTAGGTTATGGACCGCATCTAAGTCAAATTAAAATCCAGCGGGCTCCCATCCCAGCCAGGCAATTGACTCTGCCTGAAAAGTTGTTCAAAGTGGGGAGTCCAAGGCCTGGGGTACGGGTCAGAGTGCTTGACTGGCATGAGTCAAGCCCTGGGGCCCAGGGTTCCATCCCCCGTACCAGCGGGGAGTGGAGGGGGAGCGGGCTGCGCTTCTCTGCTAAGTATTTTATCTGCACTATGCGGATGAAGAGACAGCTGCCTCTAGATCTCTCTGAGCCTCAGTTTCCCTGTCTGCAAGGTGATGTCAGCGATGAAAGGCTCCACAGATGCAAATAACAAGCCCCAGCTGTCCTACCTGCCCGGGCCGGGCCCTGGCGCCAGCTGGGCACCCAGGTGTCCGCAGAGCGCGACTAGCAGCAGGCAGGTGAGGCCAAGCACCAGCGCCAGCGCGGCCAGCGCCGCAGCCAGCGGCAGCAGCGCCCCGGCCGTGTCCTCAGGCAGCCCCCGGCCAGAGCCCAGCTCTGGGTGCAGCCCGTCGGTGCGCTCACCCCGCAGCTCCGCGCGCCCCTCCTGCAGCTGGAACAGCAGCTGCGAGGCCAGAGCGGCCAGCACGGCGGCGGGGATGCCCAGCAGGGTCAGCGCGGCCAGCACCCGACCGCAGTACGAGTGGGCCATGGTCGGGCCTGGGCAGGCGAGAGGGCACGGGGAGGAGTGCGGCCCGGAGATCCCGAAAGGAGCGGCTACAGGGCTTGGGGGTCCCAAGGTTGGGTCAGAGGCTCCAGGAGCCTCTGGACTGGGGTGCCTGGGCTGGTCCAGGATGGGGACATGGAGTCTCCCCGTAAAGTTGAAAGAAAGTGTTTTCTTTTGGGGGGCCCGCGTGCACAGTCTCCTGGTCGGCGGGGTCGGAAGGGCGAAGCCAGGCTGCAGGTGCAGGAGAGGGAGGGGGAAAGGGCGGGGCCTGGCTGCAGGCGTTGGGGAGAGGCAAGGAGCCCCCGCAGCCCAAGAGGTAGCCAGGAGCGGGGCTAGAGGGGCGGGGCCTGACTGGGAGTGCACCGACGAGCAAAGGTGTGGGTGGGGCCTGCTGGAGGGGCACGAAGGGGCGAGGCTTAGAGGGGTGCAGCACAGAGGGGTGGGGTCTAGGTAGGCAGGGCACGGGGCGGGGTGGGACTCTGCTGGGAACTCAGGAGGCGGGAAAGGCGTGAATCCCTACAGGGTGTCCAGGAAAGGAAGCTGGATTTATCCATCCCGGAAGCTCTGCAAGTTCATACAGGACCTTCCCCACTACCCTAAACACCGTTTCTATTATATTTACGCAAACACATTTGAATGAACACAGGCCTGTCTTCCCAGCCCTTCTTGGGCTAAAGCAAGAGCATTGTAGCCAGTGGCAAGACAGTGTCTTTAAAAAGCCAAAATAGAGCCGGGCGTGGTGGCGCACGCCTTTAATCCCCGCACTTGGGAGGCAGAGGCGGGCGGAGTCCTGTGAGTTCGAGGCCAGTCTGGTCTCCATAGGGAGTTCCAGGCCAGCTGGGGCTGCAAACTGAGGTCCTGTAGTGACCATTTGTTTCATCAGCGATTTCATCATGTTCGCAGTATCGTGCGACCCCATCTCCAACTGTACAGTTGGAGAATATTGCATGTCCTTAAGAAAGATCCGATCACTACGCCTCACTTTCCTCCTGGATCCCTGGCAACCTTGACCTGCTTCCTGTCTCTGTGGGTTTGCCTGTCAGTGGGATCGCACATTGCTAAGTCTGTGTCACTCAGCACCCGGTGTTGTAGCCTGTGCCAGTGCTTTGTTCTTGTTTATGGCTGAGCAATATTTCACTATGGGAATATGCCACACGTGGGTTGGTCCATTTGTCTGTAGATGGACATTTGGGATGTGTCTCCCTTTTGTCAAATGTCCACTATATTTTTATGAACAGTAATATGCAAGTGTCAGGGCCTCTGCCTTCAACTCTTTGGAGTAGTTTAGTTCTATAAGTGGAGTTGCTGATACCTCCATTTTAACTCTCCATGGAACTACAAAATGGGTTTCCATGGCAAGTGTACTATTTTTGTACTCACACAGGGATGGGTGAGGCTTTCTTATTTTATTTTTAATAAAAATTTTGTCTTCCTTCTTTTAAGTTGGTCTGGATTTGCTATGTAGACCAGGCTGTCCTCGAACTCGTGGAGATCGCCTGCCTCTGTCTCCTGAGTGCTGGGATTAAAGGCGTGCAGCTGTTTATTTCTTTTAAAAAATTTTACATGTGCCAGGCGTGGTGGCACATGCCTTTTAATCCCAGCACTCTGGAGGCAGGGGCAGGCGGATCTCTGTGAGTTCAAGGCCAGCCTGGTCTACATAGTGAGTTCCAGGGCAACTGGGGCTACAGGGAGACCCGGTCTCAAAAAAAAATTTTTTTATGTATATGTTTTGCCTGCATGTGTGTAAATGCACCCATGTCTCGCAATGCCCGTGGAGGACAGAAGAGGGCGTCGGATCCTCTGGAACTGGAGTTAAGGATGGTTTTTAGCTGCCATGTGGGTGCTGGGACTCGAACCCTGGTCCTCTGGGACAGCAGCCAGTGCCTTTAACCACTGAGACATCTCTTCAATCCCCACATTTATTTCTTTATGGGGGGGGCAGATTGGGCAGAGAACATTTGGGGAGTCGGTTCTCTCCTATTACCAAGTGGGTCCCAGGGATGAATTGAGGTCGTCAGGCTTGGAGGCAAGTGGGCTACACCCTTCCTTCCCTAGCTTCAGTTTTACCTCCCGACTGACTCCAGGTTGGGGATGGAGGTAGAGGCAAAGCTCGTTGGATCCTGACTCCTCTGACTCGCAGCCTTCACCCCTAATCTAGTCAGATTCTTACTTTGGGAAGGCAGGCTTCCTGGGATTGGATGCAGGGAGAGGGGTTTATAGCTAATTTGCATGCTTAGCCACGCCCCTAGCGCACAAGCTCTTCGTTCCACCGTCAGGGGGCGGCGTAGGCTAAGCGAAGTGATTAGTCCAGTTTTTCAGCTTATCATGTCAACTTTGTTGATTTAGAGAACTCTCAAAGCCTAGAAGTGGCTCTACCTAGACTGAGCTTTTTTTTTCGTTCGCTTTCTTTAGGGCAGGGTCTCGTGTAGCCCAGGCTGGCTTGGGGCTCTCTATGTATCCAAAGATGACTTTGAACTCTTGATTCTTCTGCCTGCATTCTTACATTTATGTATTTGGGGGAGGGGTGTAGTACCACGGTGTGCGTGTGGAGGTCAGGGAACTACTTGTTGGAGCTGGGTCTCTCCTTCTACCACGTGGGTTCCGGGGATCGAGGGGATCGAACTAAAGTCGTCGGGTTTGACTGCACCTTTACCTGCTAAGTCATCCCATCGTCCCCATCTCTCGCCTCTCGCGCTGGGTTAGATGACAGGTGTGTGTCCCAACATCCAGCTGGACAAGGGCGTCGAGGCTGGGGTTGAAGCTCAGTTGGTAGAGTGCTTGCCTAGCCTCCATGTAGTAAGTCGTGGGTTCCATCTCTAGCACCTCACAAACAGTTCACGGGGATCCCCAGGTTCCTTTAAAGACTAGGGGAGACGTGGGAGACAAGACTCCTGGTCTTCCTTGGCTGGTCATCGCCAGGCCCTCAGTAGGCTGAGGCAGGAGAATGGCCGGTTCCAGGCCAGCCTGGGCTGCAGTGTCCCTCCCTCCACCTGGCTGCCCAGCAGGGGATCATCACCTGGGGGGGAGGGCCAGAAGAGCCCCGCCCTCTCGCTGACCCCGCCCCGCTGGTCGCCCGCGGCTCGCGTGCCGGGCTGTTCCTTCTCCACTAGGTACCTGCGGCGCCGCAGCGGCTCGGTGAGGCTCCGGTGAGCCGACCAGGTCCTCCGGCTGCAGGAAGCTGCGGTCCAGCAGCTCGGACGCCTCCTGCCAGTTGGCGAAGCAGGCGGGGCCCAGGCGTAGGACCTCATCCGCCGCATCGCGCGTCACCACGTCTCCTCCAGGCTTGAGCACCACAACCGCAGGCAGGCGGTGCACAGAGAACCGGCGCCCGAGGTCCCAGTGGGGAGCGCGTGTGAGCGGAGCTCGAACCTTCGACGCTGCCGCGCTGGGACCCGTGCTGCCTCCGATGGCCGCTGGGGGGCGCTCGAGCATCGGCTTGCACCCCGGGACCTTTGCACTGGCTGTGCCAGCCAACTGCAGCCGACCCCTCAAACCCTCCCTTTCCCCCCCGCGCTATGTCCTCCCTTTCAGTCTCCAAAATATGTAATTTCTCCTGCGTGTCACAGTAAAGTGAGAGATCCTCAGAGGTAGGGATTTCAAACAGTGTGAGGTGCTGAGGAATCTTCAGGAAATGTGTGTGGAATGAATGAACACCGTGAAAGCCTATCAAATAATGGCAGCTGGGTAAAGGCCACTCCATTGGGAGACATTGAGCTGAGATCTGTGGGCGTTAAGTGGGTATGGGGGAGAGAACAGGAGACAAGAGGGATTTGGGGCAAGGCATGACAGGTGCAAAGGCCGGGAGGATGATAGGAGGACCACCTGAACACACAGAGCCTTGAGCCTGAAAAGGGTCTGAAGTTTCAGGGTTGTTCTGAGAGTCCAGGAGGCCACTGAGAAACTGCCTACATCCTAGGGAGACCCTTACCAAATTCACAGCTGGCCAGGCCACACCCCCTTCATACTCAGGAAACAGAGTGGACAGCCAGCCTGGATTCTTAACCCATATATTTTTTGTTAATTTTTATATTTTTATGTGTATGTGTGTATCGCCTGCATGTAGGTAAGTGCAACCGTGTTGTGCAATGCCCACGGAGGACAGAAGAGGCTGTCAGATCCCCTGGAACTGGAGTTATGGACAGTTGTTAGCTGGGATTCGAACCCGGGTCTTCTGCAAAAACATTCAGTGTTCTTAACCACTGAGCCATCTCTCCAGCCCCTTAACCCATAATTTTTGGTGTTTTTCGTTGTTGTTGTTGATGTTGTTTGGCTTTTTTTTTTTTTTTTTTGAGACAGGTTCTCCCTATAGCCACAGCTGGCTTGGATTCACTATATAGACCAGGCTGACCTTGAACTCACAGAGATCCTCCTACCTCTGCTTCCTGAGTGCTGGGATTAAAGACGTGTGCCACCATACCCGGCTGCTGTTTTGTTTTTGAGACACTGTCTCATGTACCCAGGCTGGCCTCCAACTGACTATGTAGCCAAGGCTGACCTTCAATTCCTGATCCTCCTGCCACCACCTCTGGCTGGGATGACAGGGATGCCCACTACATCTAGGCCATGTAGTGCTGGGGATGAATCCAGGATCTTGTGCATGCCAGGCAAGCACTCTACTGACTGGGTCCCAGTGTGGCCCTTCTTGTGGATTTTGAGACAAGGTATGTAGCTCAGGCTGGCCTGCAACTCCTGATCTTCCCTGGCCACCACCACACTCAGTGTGGTGAGCTTCCATGAGTGAGCTTCCCATGGAAGAACTTTGTCCACAATAGAAGGTTCCTCCGTGACCCTTGCAGCCTGTGGTTCTTCCCTGGGAACAGAAACACTGCCTGTTTGAGGAGCTGAACCCCATCAGCTGCATAGGGAGGTGACCCAGTGTCCCAACTCTGATCATGATGGGGGCAGAGTGGGGACCTCATGACCAGCAATTTTGAACTTGTACAACAAACAGATGAAATGCTAGGAGAGGTCCATATAGACCCAAAACTTGCCTACCCTTGACTCAGCGTAAATCCAGTCCTGTAGTACCTCAGCCGAGGGGCACATGTCCTGCTGGGGATGACACTCCCTTCAAATGTTGCTACATTTGAGTCTCTCTCAGCCCTGGGGCTGGAACCAGCAAGCCAGGCAGGGAGCCATACCACACCCACACCCACAGTCCTGAATTTAGTCCGCAGTAGTACAAAACAAATGTGAGGCTGGGTGTGGTTGGCACCTGCCTGGCATCTAGCACTTGGCAGACTGAGGCAGGAGAATAGCTGTGAGTTCCAAGTCAGGCTGTCTCTAGAAGTCAGAAAGAAGGACTGGGAAATGGCTCAGTGGGTAAAGCATGAGGGTTGGATTCAGGTCCCCAGAAGCCACAGAAATGCGGGGTGGGTATGGCAGTCTGAGCTGTAATGCCTGGGAGCAAGCAGACTGGCCAGATTAGCGGATCTGTGAGCTCTGAGCTCATGTGAGATGTTCAGTGAATGAGAACAGAACTGAGGTGACGCTGACCTAAGCCTTGAACCTCTACACATGCACACACGTAGGAGATACATGCTCACAGGCACACACGCCACACACATATACATACAAAAACAAAGCAAACTTCCCAGCAAGGTGGCACATGCCTTTAATCCCAGCACTCCAGAGGCAGAAAGGCAGGCAGGTGTCTATAAGATTGAGGCCAGCATGGTTTACATATTGAGTCCCATGTCAGCTTGACTATAGGGAGACCCTGTTTCAGGCAAAGAATCAAACAAAAAAGCCAACCAACCCTCACCCCAAAAAAGTATAACAACAAAAACTGAACCAAAAACCAGAAAGTGCTGGGTGTGGTGCACATGCCTGTCTTCCTAGCAGGGGACTGAGGTACGAGAATCAGGAGTTTCAGGCCAGCCTGACTTACATAGTGAGACCCTGTCTTAAAAACTAAAACGAGGGACTGGAGAGCTGGCTTAGCAGTTGAGAGCACTGGCTACTCTAGCAGAGGACCCAGGTTCTACCCAGAGGACCGGGTAGTTAACAACCATCAAAAATTCCAGTTCCAGGTCTTCTGACCTCTTCTGGCATTGCATGACACAGGTGCACTTACATACATGCATATAAAAGAAAAATAATAAAATATTAAAAAAAAATAACTAGGGGCTGGAGAGACGGCTCAGCGGTTAAGAGCACTGACTGCTCTTGCAGAGGA